ATAATTGAACTTAGTCCAGAAAAATAAATTTCTTGACATTAATTTTATTGTAAAAGAGAAGTATGTGATTATACAAAAGTAATTGATTATATTACTGTTTACACCAAAAATTACAAAAATTTAAAATCTTGCCACATATCAAATATTTTTAAATGGATGAAGGAGATTTTGCCATGCCAAATTTGTTATTCTGAGCTCCATGACAAATCAATTGCCACATTAGCGAAAAAGGGAGATAAAAGTAAGATTTTACCATGTAATTACCTCTTTGAGTCAAATAGGGATTATTTTAGCTGAAATATAGGAGGAGATTGCAATTAAAGAAGGGAGTTATCAGATAAGGACATAGGTGGCAAAAATCTAGAAGGAGATCTGACTAGGTCAACTGTTGAATTGTTCCACTATCTTAAGAAACCACCTACAATTTTGTAACTGCAGAAAATGGGAAGTTACAACAGGCAAAAGGAGAACAAAAAGGACATTTTGGAAGGGAGAACACATTGTTAGGGCCAGCCCTACACACAACCTGCAAATTTTCAAACTTTCAATTTCTCTACAATTGTTCACTACTATTTACAGATTTCTAATTTCAGCAAAAATCTCAATAGATTTAGGTTGTTTTCCATCATTTCAGTGGACAAATTAGTTCATGTATTCGCTTCAACAATTTCGTTTCATGTAATAAACTTCAATATTTCAAATTTCTTTAAGGTACTATTCCTTTTCTGTCTGTAATTAATTTAATGTTTATGATAAATAACGTTTCTTCAATAATTACTTATATAGCGTCCACACTTTTTCTCAACTTCAAGCATATTAGTTTAATTCCTGTTCAAGTTTGTTTTAGTTTTAATTAGGGTAAAATCTCCAATTCTGCGGTAGTTTAATTTCCAGATCTGTCAGTAGATAGCATTTTAATTTGACAATGAACATGTTTAATTTAATTTAGGTGCATCTTGTTCGTAGATTTATTTTAAATTGCATGCTATTTAATTTAATTAGGATTTGTTAACTTTAATTTATAGTATTGTTTAAGTCCTTGGAGTTGTCTAAGGTAGATTTTGTAACCCATTCTGCAAGAAGGCATTCCTCTCTCTTGCAAATCATTTGTAGGCGCAAATTTTAATTTTAAACCGATGTTCTTCCCGCCATTTACAAGGAGGTCGACTGTGAGGAAAGAAAGGATCGTTGAGAAAATCTTCATTTTTTACTTTCAGCAAAATAAGTGGCACATCCACCTCCAGATTTCACACGTGTGAGGCTACTAGAGGATTTTTGAAAAAATAATTACTTTCTTAAAAGAAAATCTCATAAAATAACTTTCTTAGGAAAGTAATGATATAATTAATTACTTTTCTATTATAACCAATTCAAATGTGTCTTGTTTTAAGATCAAGAAATTTATTTTCCTAAGCCCAACTCAATCATTTTTTGGCTGGCTTCTCCAAATTCCCTTTTTAGGAAAGGCCTCAACCAAACAAACCCTAAGAAGTTACATGTTGGAGTCTCCAAAATCACAGTTAATATATTAATATGATTCTACAGTTAAATAAATATATTTTAAAGCATTAAATATTAATGAAATTATTACGTATCAAGTGAAAAAAGTGAAAAGAATCATCATTAGTAGCAGCAATGGCCTGGCATGGTGGGTTCAAATTCACATTTTTTTTAACAGTGAGAAATTGAAAGATAAGAGGAATAGTTACAATAACGCTGCGGTTCCATTGCGGCTAATGCCACAAGTGCGTGGGTTCAAGTTCACTTGAGGTTTTTAAAACATCAAACTTGTATCGTTGAATTTATTTGTGTATTAGAAAGCATAGAAGCAAGCCTTTTTTCTTCAAATGAATATTCAGCCTCTTCAGGAATCGCTTCAACTGGATTAACTGCCAAGGCAATTGGAGGAGCTGGGATGATAGCGGTCTGCATTGGAACTGACACAGTGGAAGGTGTCGAGGTCACGGTAATTGGCATTGCCTTGGGTGTTCTGTTCTCTTCATCCACTAAAGTAGCTGCCTTCGTGGGGATAACACATGATAGATCCTTAATTGGAAGCATTCTCTGCACAGTCTCACCATGGTCTCCTAATATGTCTGTCATATTGGTTTTTGACGATGCCGTGGAAGAGATGGGAGAGAATGGTTGCCGAAGGATCGGTGATTCTGGTTCAGTGACACTTGCAGCATCAGAGTTCCTTTTTATAGAAATATCAGCTACATCCAATCCTTTCCTTACTGCAAAATGGGTGAATAACAAAGCACAGAATTACTGGAGGAACTTCCACATTTCAGCTAGTAATGCCGAACATAAACAGCCTCTTCTATTTCCAGAAAATATTAAGAGATGATAATAACCTTCAATGTATTAACCAAACAAATATACTATGATGAAACATAATTTTTGATATTAATATCTCTAAAAAATCTTACTAGAATATCTGCCTTTTGTCCTTCAAGTAGCTAATTCAGAAATTGTTGTGTGACATTTACCTTAGAAATCAGTTAAGTACTTTTTCTTAGTTACTAGACCTCAAGGTGCGCTTTTGAGAATTTAAAAAAGGATATTAAATTGCTTTTTAATAATTACTAATTTTAGGTATAATAATTCATAAGAAAGTTAAAATGGTAACCATGAAAGAAGATTTAAGAGTACAAATTTTATCTTTTTAACTTTGAAAAATAAAGACAAACTTTTATATAAAAAAGGATATTTAAAATTTTAGATAATGAGTACATTTTCTTGTATATATAAATAGGTAATATAGAATAGGAATATTGATTTTGATGAATAAGATACCAAGTCCTATTCAAGATTGAATTGTAGTAATTAATGAGAAAATATTTTTTATATAATTAAACTTAATTTCCTATTAAGGTTGAATCGTAGAATTGTAGTACTTAAGAAGAATTATTTCCTACTCTATAATTATAGATTGAATTAATTTCCTATTCTATATTAATTTCCTAATTTCTGAGTCCCATACCTCTTATGTCATATTTGAACTAGTCTTTAAATAGGTATTTTGTTAAAAAGCCTATTAGGAATTTATTCAACATTTTTTAAAAACCTATTAAATATTTATTGAGGATTTTTTTAAAGTTCAATGGGTATTTATTTGAGAATTTTAGAGGAAAATATGTTGTTATAGCAATTTTGTATATTGTTAAGATTAAGATTAAGATTAAGATTAAGATTAAGATTAAGATAATATAGGGTCATGGGAAAGAGAGCTTGCCTGCAGATAATGCTGCAAAACCATCATCCTGCAAGTGATTTAAATTGTCAATTGGATGTACTCTGTCAGCTTTCTTACTGGGAGGCGTTTGAGGGGTAGCTGCCGTTGAGGAATTGAGCATATCAGGTTTAGAAGCCTGAGGCATTGCTTCTCCTGCAGAGGCTCCTTTATTGCTTGCACATCCTGTTGAAAATCTGGAAGCCTTTTTAACACTAAGGGCCTTTGAAGGGCTTCCTTTTGATCCATAGAGCACTTCTTGCTCTGCTATTAGCTGTCCCTGAAGTTTCTTCTGGTCCTATAGTAAAGAAACAACAACAATAAACAATGCTCAACAATGCCCATAAATGTGTAGAGTCCAGGTGTAATTACATGGTATTAATCCATACAAAGCTGATAAGGAATAAATTGAAGAAAATGATAAGTTAGTACCCGCAGCCTACGGCGCTCTTGTTCTTTCTCCTGCCTTAACATGGTATATTCCTCGAGCATGAAGAGCAGATGAACCTGGATAATGATGTAAAAATCAAACAGCTTCAGACATTTTGCACAACCATTAGTTATAAAGTGCATTTCAAACACACCATCCAGGGACCTAAATGTTCAAGAAACAAGAGTACTCACACCATCGTATAAGAACTCAAAGCCTCTCTCCTTTTCCCATGCCATGGTCTTGGCTGCCAATGCCTCCACCATTCCTGGGTCATATGATACAAACAACTTAGCTTCAGTTTTAGCAGATGTACTCAAAATAGATGATACAAACACTAGTTTGAACAATTAATAAGGGGAATTACATGATGTGAAACCATGAAATATTGGGCTTGGTTTCATGACATTTCTATCTCTAATTAAGCTTTTATATTTAATGCAGTTTGAACTTCAATAATTAAAGTGAACATACATGATACTACACCATGACTAACCGACCTGACCATGACATTTATATATCTAATTAAAATTTTTGCCTAATGCAGCAAATACCTGGGAGTTTAGTAACCAATGCACGGGCTTTCTCAGCACGCTTGAGCATAAGGTGAGTACCTTTCCCTGCATTGTATCTATTCTGATCCTGCAGAACCAAAGTTGATATAGGCAAGTTTAAGCTTATGATGATACAAGCATTCAACAAAAGACGATCATGCAAATGCCAACCCTGTTATAATCCTCAAGCCAGCACTCCTCGTCACAGGCATTTAACCATTTCTCCACCTTCTCGAGTATTTCTTTCCTGCTAAAAGCTTCCTCTTTAACCTTAGCAATTTGGAGTTCAATTTGTTCAAGTATGGTAGATGCGTCCAGAGCTCCTAATCAAGGCAAATGAGGCAAGCACTTCAAAAATATTAGAGAAATAACTACAATTTTGGCCATTCAGTGCAGCTACAATGATATATAGAACATTTAAATTGTACCAGACTCAATGGCATCAATGACATCTTCCAGGGCACTGTCAAACTCAGGAACCAGGTGTGTCTTTCTACAGATCTCCTCTAGCTCTGAACGCTTCTTCAAAACAAGCTCTTTCATTTTGCTTGACTTCAACTCTTCCAACCGAGAAACTTCTGCCTCAACCTGCATGTTGTTTTATAATATGAGGCACATGTAACTTTTGGAAGTTTGTATAACAAACGGCTTAAAAGTGGATAGTTAAAACTGGTTTTTAAACGCCTGTAACTCACATGGTTAATGAATTCCTCTGAGAGAGTATTAGGCTCAATGATCTCATGTTCTGAAGCAGCTATATTACAGGTCACATTTTGAAACATCTGTTGCTCTTCAATAGGTGTATCCATCAAATTCCATAACTCCAACATTGAAGTTGCAAGATCTTGGAGCTGCCAAGATTCAAAAGGGTAGCAATTTCAGTTAAGGGGAAAGATTTTACATCGTAAGAGAGACTAAAATTTATCAGTAACACTTACTCTTTGCATGCTCTGTATCTTAACTAGGCGCAAATTCTTTACTGCTGTAGCCAAATGCCCTATTGTGTCATTACTTATACTCCTTGATCCTTCAGATTCACCTAAACTGGGATGAACCTCAGTAACTGTGAGCTTGAAATCCATACCCAGAACCAAGCAGAGTGAGTTCAATGTATTAAGATGGTCTTGAACCTGCTTTAGCCTATCACTCTGTAGCAGAGAAAGATCAGTTGGTTAGCAATTAGAACTTCTTGACATGTGAACCAGACGAAAAATTAGAGGAAATAACTCAACCTTCTCTTTCTGAAGCGCATGGAGCTGTCTGTGTAATTCTTCAAGCTTCCTTAAGGATAAATCAGTTTCATCAACAACTGTTTTAGAAGAAACAGATTCTGTGGATCCATATATCTCAGTTGTAATCTTCTGTATTTCATCTAAAACTTCAACGAATTGATTTCTTCTGTGCATTTTCCTTTTCCTCATCTCCTCCAGTTGGGAAAAAATTTTCCTGAGCTCCTCCTTCAAGCTTCCGGTATTTTGATCAAACTGGAAACATAGGCTAATAAGTACATAGTTTAGATGTGAATCTAGCTTCCAGCATTTTGATCAGACTGAAAACATAGGCCAATAAGTAAATAGTTTAAATGTGAATCTAGATTTCTGAACTTTATATACATACTCAACTCTTAGTTCAGTAAATACCCATCACTATATCAAACCTAACATATCTCAGATATTTAGTGTTTGATGTTAATATGATGCAATGCATTATTGAAGCAATTTTTAAGCGAATCATGATCCTTGTTGTACAAATAAGTAGAAAAGAAATAAACTCTACACAAAAATTTGAAATTATTAATCCAATCGGATATTGTTTCATTTCATTCCTAACCTGCCTGATAAGCACTGGCCGCTCTCCCATTGCTGAACAGATGCCTGCAAGTTCAGCTTCACAATCAGCAATGGACTGTCTTAGCTGAGCCTTCCAGTGATTAGCCTGACCCACTTTTCTTCTGTATACTTCCAAGCATTCTTGTTCAAGATCAAGCACCATTTTCTCCTTATCAGCATCTGTCTCCCCAACTTCATCCCAAATTATCTAATTTTTGCAATAAAAAGAAAGAAAAAATTGAGTTAGTCCTCAAAAGCAGATCAATTTGGAAAATATATGAACTAGGGAAATAAAAGGCAGGAAAAGAAAATAATTCCACATAAGAGAATGTAGGTTTCTCCTATCTCAAGAACTTTTTTTTTTTTGTTGTGATAAGCATCTCAAGAACAATAATAACCTGAAGCTCGCATAGGAGCGTGCCACATGTTGTTTCAGCTTGAAGAATCGGATTGTTTTGCACACTAGACATGTCTCAGTCCGGTGCCTGAAAAAGAAATCCAAAATCATAAGAAATGATATGAGTCAGCTTCAAACACACCTGCCAAAGATGGCATATACTGGTTTCATAAAAGGAGATAATAGCAATTAATTACTATTGCTCAAGCACAATTTCAGCTCAATAAACGGCTGTGTCAAGTAGGATTGTTACAATCCATGTTATTAAATGAGTTGATCTATATGACCTATTGATTCGAGTGGAAGAATCTCGATTCCCTTAAACAAGATCTCAAATACAGAGCCACATATCATAGTGTAAGTTAACAATGTGATATTATAA